TAATCTGATTATAATATAAAAATAAATGCTACCATATATATTTTAATTAAAATAGTCCAATATTTACCATCATTACATTTTCTTGGTGGGATGTCACATTCATGACAAAGATGTGAAAAGCAAGGCAATATATAAAGTAAGAAAAAACAAATAAACTAAATTATATTCCCCCAATAATTCAATTAAAATAATTTTAAAATTTGAAGATGMTGATATTGTTTAATTAAAATAGTAATTGAATTGAAGAATAAAGATTTATTAAATTGAKGGGTCGTTTAYCAAACGYTTATCYAGGTAAGCGCTTAATAAATCAYATTAYCTTACCGGTATGAGCGAAGACAATGAYCGAGAGTCTTACCTGGTAAGTGAGGGGGACTACTCTTACCATGGGTAGCACTTACCGGATAAATTGTTGCATAAATACCTTTTTGGTAGATTAATTTCTTACCCGATAATTAATTAATTGACTAAATGTTGTCGGTAAATACTTACCCAGATAAGCATTTGGTAAACAAYCCCTGAGTTTAGATAAAAGAAAGACTTTAATTGCATTTTTCTTAACAAAAATATATTTACAATCTTTTTTTAGATCTAAATTATAGTATTAAATATAGTAAATTATGGTTTTGTTTGTAGCGGTGGCATGGTGTTTATGGCCTTGTCCTAAAATTTGTTTTATTACAAAAAATTCCCATTGATCTACATTTTGTTCTGGTTTAGGTGTTTTGTCTGATAACTCATTATGTTTGTTATTAGTACCGATCATGTTTTTTTACATGAGGGATATTTTGGTCATTTCAAATCTAAAATATATAGAGTACTTCATCATCTTCTTCACTTTCTATGATCTATTTACAATTTTTGTGATTCATGACATCGCTGCCTTCACGTCCCCTCGAGCATGGTAGATCAATTGTCAAAAGGACGAAATGACGTTACTCAAATAAACATGTTCAAGTTCGAATCATGGAGGAGACGGGCTTCAACCCCTCCACTAGTCTTAGACGGTGAGTCAACTTTGAAATGTCTACTCATATATGGTTTCTAGTGACGGGATCCATTTATGTTGTTTATTGTGAGACTACATGTACAATTCCTTGCGCATATACTTACTACTATGACTTTTGATATATCATCSGGGGTAGATTGTACATCAATGTGTGTATTTATAGATGGAGGTTCAAATGAGAACACCTTAATCTTATGAGAACACAAGAACACCTTTATTACATGTGATAATACGAGTGAGGAAACCTGGTGGTGTACGAACAACGTGTCCTGCGACTTAGGCCGTGCCAAAGGTCGTTTGCACTTATGATTTAGTATCATATGTGATGGTCTTGATGGATTATAGTATTATATCAAAAACATCTTTATCACATGTGATAATACATGTGAAGAGACTCAGTGGTTTAAGGCTACTAGGCCCACAACGTAGAGTTATTTATGTTAGTAGACATTTCTTGTACGTGAAAGTACAACGTATATACGTAGAGTTATATATGGGAATATATAGAGAGAGTGACAGGGTTTGCTTCTTAATTTCAAGCCATCAAACTTTTGATTTGATCGCCGTTGAGAATGAGGAATTGGTGGTGCTATAACCACCGTCAAYCACCAGGTTCACCCCACTCACAAACTTAGCCTCATCGCTACCCAAATACAACGCMGCCTCCGCCACATCCTCCGGCGTCGGCACCACACCTTTCAAAGTGCCCGATGCACGTAACACTTCCTCCACCACCTCCTTCTCCATTCCCATCGCATTAACCAGCAGCGGCGTAGCAACCCCCCACGGTGAGATGCAGTTCACCCTTATTCCATATCGTCCTAGCTCCACACACAAATTCTTCGTCAACCCCACCACCGAGTGCTTCGACATCGTGTAGGCATACGACGTATCGCCGGCACTCACCGACACCAGACTTGCAGTGAACAGAATCACCCCACTCTGCGCCGGAATCATGATCCGAGCGGCGTGTTTGGCTCCCAAAAATGAACCAAACGCATTCACCTCAAAAACCCGTTTGAAATTTTCGATATTAGAGCCGAGTATCGTGCTATTTGGGTCGCCGGGKATGCCTGCATTGTTGAACATGATGTCTAGCTTTCCGTATTTGGAAACCGTGGTGTCCACGAGATTTTGAACATCGGAATCACTGGTAACATCACAATGAACATACATGACGACATTTCCCAGTTTAGAAAGTAGTTCCTCACAAAGGGAAGTTCCCCGTTCGTCTTGGACATCGGCGATCACCACTTTGGCGCCATGTTTRGTGWAAAGCCTCACCGTGCTTTCACCGAAACCGCTTGCACCACCGGTGACTATGGCGACTTTGCCTTGCAATCTGTAAGATTAATTAATATAGAAATTAATAAYTTACGATTAAAAATCAGTTTCATGAAATAAAAAAATGGGCATAYGAATGTTGATTCTTTACCTTTTGGCAGAAAGGGATGATAAAGAATTATTCATCTGCATGCTGAAGGACAACGTATGGTTGATGGGCCTTATTACATGAACGCTATGTATTTATATAAGGTCAGAACTAAAATATTTAGCATTTTAGTCGGGTCAGACCGGGCCAGTTATTGGTATCCCCGTCCCGAAACCAATAACTAAAACTGTTTTCGTAACCGCCCCCATCTCTGTCGGAAATCCCTGTTTGATCCCCGCGGGTTCTCCGATCCTTGTTGGGAACCCTTTAAAGGTAAAATTTCTCTTTTCTCATTAGTTTCCTCGTTCGCCCTTGGTTATACCTGAATCCGAAACTGGAACCGATCTGAAATAAATTACAATATGTTAATTTTCACAACTTAAAGTAAATTCCAAATTTTTTTGAAGATGCAAGTCTAAAAGTCTCAATTATAATTAAACCAATTACAAACATCTTATACTACAATATAAAAGTAAATAGAAATATACAACTACCATTATTATCATTTTACGACTAATCAAATAAACTAAATTTTTTCGTGAGTGTTTTAATGATATTATATATGTATATATATATGTATATAAATTAAAATTAATATATATATATATATATACATATCGGACAGGGACGGGACGGTGACCCTGTTAAAATCCTCGAATATGTCTCCGATCCTTRCCTCGCCCCCAATAAGATGTCCCCGAACCTAACATGAAAATTTTGATTTTCGGTTTTCACCATTAATTTCGGTTTTTTTTTGCCAATCTCTAAATTTATGTAAAATGAAATATTCTTTTACTCTATATGAGAGAACGGAGGTTTACAAAAAATCTAAAAAAAAGAAAAACCCAAAAATACTTCATCTACTAATTAATTGATTCGATGGGTGTATTTAAATAGCGATTACAACTTTATTTTAAATTAAAAAATCTGTCATCCCTTATTTTTTAAATCTAAAAAAAATACTAAATATAATCAAAATTCAAACAAAACAAAGTACAACAAAAAGACTTCATATGCGTTTTCATCCGTTTTGTTTTCTTCGTGTTTTTCCATAATTTATTTAGTGTTTTTTTAACCCGAACCTATGTATGTATGTATGCATGTATGTATGTATGTATGTATGTATGTATGTATGTATGTATGTATGTATGTATGTATGTATGTATGTATGTACGTATGTATAGAGTGAGAGAGGGTGGTTATGCATGTGTATATGTTATGCATTATCTAGAAGTTATGGACATGTGCAAACAAGAAATTAAAGTTGTTTCTTTGTTTTTATTCATGTGTAAATGTTATGCATATGTGCTAGACAAATTGCTTAAAAATTACTTGTATATACATATACATACCATTCAAATGTATGATTATCATAGTGCTCCTCAATCTTTCATTTTTTTACGTTTTTTCCTGAATCTGACCATTCACACACAMACACACACATCAACCTTGAAAAAGAAGCATCAAATAACCCATCCAAACCGTTAGATTGAGATGATCCAACTATGATTAAAAATGTGGTTATAATCACTTTCAAGAAATATCCCATCACTTTATTATCTATAATTTAACATCCATCTTTTTATATTTTTTATTCGTTTTTTTTATGGTTTTTCGATTATTTTTCCAACGTTTTGTTTTGATCTTTTAGCGATATTAAACAATTTTTCGATGGTGATTTTGTATCAAACATACAAATAGTGAATCTAAATTTTTTTAGCGTTTTAGAATTATATCAATTAATCGATTTATGAAAAATCATGAGTAATATTTATTAGAAAACACATAATTAAGTTGCATTAAAATAGAATACCTTTGTTCTATTTTTTTTTCCTGAAATTTATCCTTTTACGTTTACGACAAAACACATTAAAGAAAAAGTTATATATATATTTCAAGCATTAATATTTGGTTGTGAATTATTTCTATATATATATTTTTTAGAAATATCCATCGTTAAAGAGTCATTCGTCATAAAAATTGATGGGTAAATTGTTGGCGAAAAACTCAAATCAACGACATATTACCAAGTATTTTTTGGGTGAGCTTTATGAAAAAAAACGTTGGATTCTTCCGGAACCATTGATATTTTCTAGATGATCTGTCGATATTTTCGAAATCATTTGTTTCATCGTATTTGTTATAATACGATTCAATTTTTTTTCACAAACTTATAACATGTTTCTAAAATTGTATCAATTAAAGACATGATACAATTGATATCATATATATGACTCTGAAATAGGTTCACCAAATTAAAACAAAACAAAATGCATTTTATTTTAATACAATTTACCAAATTATATATTAAAGATTTTCAATATATTTTTTTAAAATTTAGTTTTATTAGAAATCAAACAATATATAATGTTGATATAGCACAGTTGTTGATCCATCGATAATCAAGTAATATCATACATTTTACTTCATCTTTTTACGGGGTTAACGTTGTTGTCTTTAGACGATCTCTAATCCAATTACTAAAAATCAAACATTAAAATCACTAAAAAAATTGTCGATCCATTGAACGCTCCAACCCAACTACAAAAAACAAACGCTAAAAAAATCAAAAACATCTTTAATATTATAATAATGATAATAATAATAAAATAATATATTTATGTATTATTGTACTATTTTATTAATACATAATAACTTTTGCAAGAAAATTTAATTAAAATAGTCATTTTTACCGGTTGGTCATTTTTTGCAGACCTGAGTGAGAAATGTAAATTCTTTTGTGGACCTGGATGAAAAATGTAATTTCTTTTTTGCGGACATGGGTAGAAAGTGTAGATTTTTTTTGTCTTTTAACTGGTTCCGCAATTACGAACGTGGGCGAACCTATGGCTATTTTGATAAACTGAGTGAAAATGACTAATAGATGAAATCAACCTTGAAAAATGACTATTTTAATAAATTTCTCCTTTTATAATCAATAAATAATTATCACTTGATATTTTTATAATTAATGAATCTATGTTATTGTGTTTAGTTTTTTATGCTATTTTCTTGAAATAAAATTGTAGCCAATATTAATTTTTTTTTAATAATTTTTTTCTAAATCTTTTTTATTTTGTTAAACATTTTATGATTATATATACATTCTATTTATGTATGTTCAAGTTTCATTAATCAAAATTGTAACAAAACTATTCACGTTCTCGTTTTTACTAGTTCTCATTTTTAATTAAAAAATGAAATTATTTAACTATAAATTACCCTTTATAAACACAAAATAACTTAACTCAACTTTATATATATATATATATATATATATATATATATATATATTGATCTTAAAAGAAAATAAAATATGAATATTTAATTTACAGAGGCCAATTTTTTTGATCTTCAAATATAAAGGCTAAAGTCTATAACTTCTATTTTTTTAGTGTTTTAGTGATAGATTAAGAAGAAAACACTTTTATTTTAGGCATTGTTTGTTTACTTCTTAATAGTTCTATTAAGAGGAGACATTTGAATCGTTAAAAGGTGAATCTTGTTTGACAAAAAAAGTATGTCTTTTAATAGTTCTAAAACCTTTTGAATGATTTTGTATCTTGGACCTCCTTTAACCATTCAACGCCCTAATTTCATTGTAAACAATTACCAAACAATTATATTTCATTTTGCACTATATCATGAGAGTATCTTAATCATTCACCACAAACCATTCAGCAACTTTCAAACAACCCCATAGTATTTTTAATGTCTTTAGGGGGTGAGTCGGAGATACTCTTACCGTGGTTTGATGAAAGTTGAAACTTAAAGAAATTTTGGTTTTCCTTTACTAGTAAATGATAATTTCTAATTATTGGCTTAATTTTTACACAAAATCCATTAATGGACAAATTGCATGTAAATTGAATATATTTTACTAGATTTCAAATATAAATCGCATACCTTTAAATTTATTTATAACATATTTTTACACACATTTTAGCAACAGATTTATTTCAAGTACTAAAATGAACCCCAAATATATATATATATATATATATATATATATATATATAAACACAAACTTAATATTAAAACTTTAAGGTGGCGTTTGTTTTTTAAGAGGTGCTGAAGTCTGAAGTCTGAATTCACTTCTGAATTTTAAGAGGTGGTGCTGAAGTCTGAAATCTGAATCAGTCAGACTGTTTGTTTTTACGTCTGAAATCTGAAATCTGAATCAGTCAGACTGTTTGTTTTTACGTCTGAAATCTGAATCAATTCATTTCAATTAAATTTAACTGAAATATCCAATCATTTAAACCATTTGTAAACTAYCATATACTTTTAACACATTCAAAAATTCAATTGAAATGCGTCAATTGATTCAAAACACAATAGAAAACAAAAATTCAATTGAAATGCCTTGCAAGACTTTTCAACCCTGAAGAATTTAGACCCTGTTCATATTTCCATCTTAAACATATTCCATCCTCCTAGACTCTCTTTATCAAACTTCAATGGCTTCCACTTCTTCTTCCTTTACCGATCATCTTTATGAAGCATTAGATCGAGCAGGATCTCACACTTTTAGGGATAATGATGAAATCAATAGAGGTGAAGAGCTGAAGCCGGAAATCGAGAGAGCAATCAGAGCGAGATCGAGAG